CTGCTGCTGCTGCTGCTGTTGTGCTTGTGTAGAACTTGTTTGCTCAGTCTGCTGTCTGTACAGCTGCAGCTAGCTGTGGCTAGCTATACCTAGCTGTGGCTAGCTGTAGCCATCCGTGTCTAGCTAAAGCTAGCTGTGGCTAGCTGTGGCTAGCTGGAGCTAGCTGTGGCTAGTTGTGGCTAGCTGTAGCTAGCTATGGCTACCCGTATCTAGCTCTGGCTACATGTAGCTAGCCATGGCTACCCGTAGCTAGCTGTGGCTAGCTGTGGCTAGCTGTGGCTAGTTGTAGCTAGCTGTGGCTAGCTGTGGCTAGCCACGAGCAGTGCCTGGAGGGGGCTGAGCTGCGGTGGGGAGGAGACAAAGAAATACACAGACAAACAAAAAAGGAGACGCCAATGTAATATATCCCGATGTTGCTGCTGCTGCAGCTGCTGCTGCTGCAGTTGTTGCTGCAGCTGTTGCTGCTGCAGTTGTTGCTGCTGCTGCAGTTGTCGCTGCTGCTGCAGTTGTTGCTGCTGCTGCAGCTGATGCTGCTGCAGCTGTTGTTGCTGCTGCTGCAGCAGCTTTGCTTTGCTGCTGCAGCTGTTGTTCCCTGCTGCAGCTTTTGCTGCTGCAGCTGTTGCTCCCTGCAACTGCTGCAGCAGTTGCTGCTGAACCTGTGGGAGCTGCTGCTGCTGCTGCTGCTGTTGCTACTTCAGTTGATGCTGCTGCTGCAGCTCTAGCTGCTGCAGCCGTTGCTGCTGCAGCAGCAGCAGCTGCTGCTGCTGCTACTGCAGCTGATTTTGCTGCTGCAGCTCTAGCTGCTGCAGCCGTTGCTGCTGCTGCTGCTGCAGCAGCTGCTGCTGCTGCTGCTGGTTGTATGCCACCGATTGCTATCAAACTATTTATTCGCTGCAACCCCAAGAAAGCCGCTGCAGCAGCAGCAGCAGCAGCAGCTGCAGCAGCAGCAGCAGCAGCAGCAGGAAGCAGCAGAGAAGCAAAAACAGCAGCAACAGTGTAGCTTTTCCTGCTAGTTGCTGCTTGTCGTTATCTCCCTTATCTCTTGCTGCAGTGTACGTACACCTCAACAGCAGCAACAGCAGCAGCAGCAGCAGCAGCA